TTCCTCGCGCTCTGTATATTGTTTTAACAAGACGTTTTCTAAAAGGTGCGCAAATTATATAACGAAATTGTAATCTTAAAGGTATTCATAGCAATCATGGCAAGCCCTTTGATAACACCTTTCACTGCAGTTATAAGTGGTCCTACGGGGTCTGGAAAATCAGTATTTGTAAAGAAATTGATACAAAATAAATATTTCGATAAACCGTTTGATGATATTTTATGGTGTTACGGTGAATACCAGCCACTGTTTTCAGAATTAAGAAAATCTATTCCAAACATTGCTTTTATCGAAGGCATCCCTATAGAAACTATAGATGAATTTGATTCGACTAGAAATCATCTAGTCATCATCGACGATCTCATGACAGAATGTAGCCAAGATAAGCGTATTGTAAATTTATTTACTAAAGGATCTCATCGTAGGAACATTTCGGTTATTTTTATTATGCAAATTTTTTTCTATGGATCAAAAGAAATTCGTACCATAACGTTAAATGCTCACTATATCGTACTGTTCAAAAACCCTCGAGATAAGTCACAAATAATTCATCTTTCACGACAAATGTACCCAGGTAGAGGAAGATTTTTACAGGAAGCATTTAATGATGCAACACGTGATTCGTACGGATACTTATTTATAGACCTTAAACCATATACGCAGGAAGAGATGAGGATTCGTACAAACATATTTTCAACCAGTAAACATTTTGCATACGTATCAAAAGTATAAGTAAACGGGACTTTAAGTACTTTGTATCATTATTACTTTAAAAATCATCATGTCAAAACGTGTGCGAAAAAATGCAGAAAACCTTACGCTTTTTAGCTAATTGCACTTCTAAACAGAGAAAACTTCTGTTACAAAATGCCGATAAAGAGTTGGTAACGACAATCTGTGAGTGCGCGATGAATGTTTTAAAAGGCAGTGTTCCTATAACCGCAGCTCATAAGAAGAAACTGAGTAGACACAAGAAGAACTTGAGAGATATAAGTAATAAGAAAATTTCTGCAATCAAGGGAAAACAAATTTTGATTCAGAAAGGTGGTTTCCTTGGTCTTGTTCTAAAACCTATTTTACAGACTTTAGGAAGTCTACTGTTGAAATAATGGAACATACTAAGAAAATGATCGTGGTACCCCAAGAATTGGCGGACGTTGTGTTACATAACAAACGCAATGAACGGACAGAAAATACCGTGTCTGATAGTTTAGATAAATCGATGAATGATATACTAGGCAGGCAAGATCTTAATGATTACGATAAAGTTACACTGTACAATCAAGTACTTCAGCGCTATTTGCAGAGAGAGAAACGAATCACTAATCCAAAGCCTATAAGTATGAATATAGAAGGACCCACTACAACGGGCGAGAAACGAGATGAGGAGGATAAGGAAACCAAAACAGATCCTATAATAGCCGATGCATTAAATTCAGTCTCTGCTACTTTAAAATCAAAAACTAAAAAATTGCTAGAGTGGATAACACGTTACAGGAGTGCGGGTGTAATAGACTGGAATGCGTTCGGAGAGGTTTTATTTGATGGAGAACTTTTAAAAGGCAGTAATTTAATAGATTTAGTAAAGGATATTATTCAGGAAAGACGAGGTTTCGAACCTATAGGCTGGAAAGAATTCCTTGTGGTATTGGCAAAATTAAATACTCCCGAAAGTTTAATCGGAAATTCAACACGTCGGACTGTTCTACAGCGAATAAAATCGGGTGGCATACAACCAAAGTCCGAAGTACAGCCTATATCCGAAGCCGTTGTTAAAAAGAAAACAAAATCATCGAAACGTAAATCGTCTAAGTCTTGGATCAGTTTTTAAACGAATGTAAAACATGTTTTCCTGGTTGCTGTGTTAAAATAATAAAAATAAAAAGATTGAAAAGATAAAATATTTTGTTTCTTTGTCTCATTTATGCGTTAAAATTGAATGTTTTGTGTTTCAGTTGTGTGAGATGAGAGACGAGGGGAAAAAGAATGAAAAGTACAAATTAAGATTATTTTTATTTTTTTAATTTTTTTTTTTCATTTTAATAAACACACAAAATATTATAGCTGATTAGTTAACATGTTCACAAATTGAATCTTAATATATTCCTTATCATACACAGGTAAATTAACGTCGTATCTACGTTTCACAAAATCGTTAACAAATGAATCATTAGCATTTTTGTCTTTAGTAAACATATTAACTATAGTTGAACTATCAACACCTCTACATCTATGCACGATATAAAAAATACAATATTGACCACACACGGTTGACAAAGGAGCCTGTAACGCTCTATCATTAAATGTCCAACTACGTACAGACTCATCGAGAAATTTAACAAAATCGTGATTATAATACTCAGGCGAAAGCCCAAAAGAGTAAAAAAAAAATCCTTCGTATTGGTTATTCATAAAAAATGCGACCCAATGCGAACCATTCTCTTTACTATTATCCACGTTCGCTATATAAGCTCTTGGATACCCCTTCTCCCCTTTAGGTAAGCGATCAGAAGGAAATACACCCCGAAAATATCGCTTAGTCAAAGGATCTGATTTTATTAATCTTAACAGTTGTATAGTGTCCATGATTAGAAATCTAATATTACGTTACGAGACTTGTCTATTTCAATAAGTGAATCGAATTCTGAGTAAATTATAACGTTAATTGTTTCTGTCAAAGCAGTAGCGAATTGAATTTCTAAACGTATATTTCCTCGTTTAATTAGATTGAAATGTCCACTGTTTGATAAATCAGGGGTGAGATCAAACGCAAACAAAGAATAGCCCCTGGCGTAGTCTTCTCTTGATATCTGGTTTCCTGTATCTTCGAATAATGTACTCAAACTGGAGAATAAACTCTGATACGCTAAAATATAACTTCCTTCACCGTTAGCTTCGAAATTTGGTTTAAGCGGTTTCCAAGGTACTTGCTCACCATCTAGATACAAGGCCATAAAGTTTGTATTGAAGTGTTGAAAGTTGTACGGATTTTTTGAGTAACTCCCGTTGAATGCGTCAGTACCCACTAGACCGATCACTAGGCGTTTTGGTAGATTGCCATTGTACAGAGATTCTCTGGTAAACGATAAATTTCCCTGAGGGACGGATAGGGTCTTCACCTCGACGCGACGGAGCGGGTATTTAGCTGTTCCTTTTTCCAGCGCTTTAGCGTGAGCCAGCGCTATAGATGGATTGAGTTTCACTTTTCTTACATACAAGGAAGCGTCTTCCAAATGAACCTTGAATCCAGCCGCTGCATCGGGTGACATGAGACAAAATGAGTTTTTGCTTCTGTGTAATTTAATTTTAACATCGACACCATTAAGCATCATACGATCTTGGAAAAATATATCGCAATGAATAGGCCCTATCAAATCCACAGAACGACTACCGTTAGTAAATTCGGAGCGTTTTTTGAGTCCATTATTAGCTACGGCATTTCCAACTGTAGGATTTGCCGCTTCCATTCTACCCGCAGTATCTTTGTAAAACAAACCACCAGTAAGATGAGTTTGCTTAGCATCCGTACCATAGGTTAACAACGTTTCGATCATTGCCCTATACGAATAGGTATTTGTAGATGGTGTGATCAATCTCTCGTTCAACGAAATATCAACTTCACTGAATAAGGATTGTAACAATAAATTGGCTGGCCCAACTGGGTCACCGTCGTCTAAATCTGTCCCATCAGGTTTCGTGATTTTTACTTTAACACGTAGCATAGTTTGCGACAAATCAACATAATGTTCACTAGAGCCCTGTATATTGAATTGTAACGGACCAGAATCAGAAATCGATGTAAATGGGTGGTAGGTCACCCAATGCCCTTTTGTAATACTAGTTTGAGTCGGTGGAACGGAAAACAAATCCAATTCCGTTTTGAGGCATTCGCATGAGTTTTTGTGTACGTAAGACATGGTGAATATTTTTATTATTCGAATATATCGGAGGTTCTTCTCGCTCTCTTAGTTCTCCTTCGACTGGTGTTTTTATGATTATGTTTTCTCTTTTTATTCAATCTTCCTCGACCCGTCTGAGAAACATCTATCATTATAGTTTCGATATCTTTTTTAACTACGTTTTTGTAGTGAGGCATTACGTATTCGTGAGAAGCTTCTTTTTTCATATGACTTTCATTGGTTTGTAAAATTCTCAACAGAGGCACGCTGGTATCCCCTACTCGCTGATATTCGATCATGTCGGTGTACACGTACAACGAGGGCACCCTATGGTGGAGATTAATAGGTCTTTCACCTATAATATCAGATCGTTCAGGTATCGAATCTAAGTCGATTCCCAGTAACGTTTGTAATCCTCCTAAGGAATCAATACTTGCATCTACGTTGGTAAATATACCAACTCTTTCGGGTATAGGGAGGAATCTGAAAAATATTTTTTCATTTAAATTTAACTTTACCAAAGTAGTGTTGATTTCATCAATCAGCATATTCCCCGACGTGTAATAACCACTTGCAATAACTATTTCATGGATTGTATCTGTTTTCACGTAAAACCTGTTGTTTGTTTCATCTACGTTAAACCATGAATGCGGATATTGTATTTCGGCCAGTCCGACTTCCCACTGTCCGCTAAGGCGTATGGGCTCGGCTAATTTTGTAGTGTAACTGGTAAGTGTATTTTCGGGAAAATAATTCATCGAGCTATTGCTGGGTAACGTTACGTAGAACTGTCTGGCCATAGTGTTTATCTTTCCAGGTTTTGAACCCAACTGTTAAATTTGGATGGATAACCTAACCATTTAACAAAGTACTCCGTTTTACCGTCGCGTTTTCGTTTTCGTATGACTTTCTCAACACGATAAGTATCTTTATCTGTTTTAGAAACTTTTTGAATCTCTTTCTCGTAGAAATTTCCCTCAATTTCTTCACCGCTCCAATCTTTGAGTTTATATGTAGGGACAGGCGTTCGTTTACGTTTGTATACTGTAAATATTTCTTCCGTCCAATTTGCTAAATAACCTTTCTCAAAAAGCATTTTATATCTGCTAATACGTACTTGATCACCGATTTTAAACTTGAATCTCAGTTTATTGATTCGTTGCTTGTTTCCGTATAGAGTTTGCCACACTTCGTGTTCATTTTCTTTTGTAACGAGTATAGGCGCTGTGCCTATAGATCGATGTTTAGACTTATTGTAACTAGAAACAAGTTTGGGAAGCGCATCGATATATTTATTGGAACCTTTAGACGTGAAATATCTCCACATTCTGGTTTTTAACGTTCTATTAAATCTCTCAACCACGCTAGCCTTCGTTTCATTGTTTGTCGTAAAGAAATGTATGTCTAGCGATTTAAGATAGGCTTGAACCTTTCTGTTTGTAAATTCTGTACCTCTATCAGTATGAATTTGAATAGGTTTTTTTTCACCGGAGAGAAGGGTCTTCATAGCTTTCAACATGGAATCGGTGGATTTATTTTTTATAGGAATAACCCACGCAAACTTAGATAGCACATCAATACATGTGACGAGAAACCTATATTGTTTGTTGTAACGTTTTAAAGATGTCATGTCTACAAGATCTAATTCCCACTGCTCGTCTATAGCTGTTACAAATACCCTATTTCTCGGGAATTTACGCTGAATA